TAAGGATTGAACCTAGTGCAATAGTGGTTAGAGAGCAATTACAGATTATTAACTAGATGACAATAGAAGCAGAAGGAAAGGAATCAATTTGTTTGTGGCATAGTGCAATCCACAGTGCGATGCACCAGGCTTGCTGCTGCAAATGCACACTTTTGCGCTAAACTTAAAGCAGTCAGATCGTTAACGGCATGAATAGTTCCGTCTTTACAGTCTAAGACGCAGACTCATGTCGAGTATGTTTTGGCTTTTCCTTGCATTCGAAAAAAAAGAGCGTCGGTTGGGACAATAATGTTCCATCATGGGGCCACGTGAAATCCTAAACTGCAGTGTGTGTGTTAGCTAAAATTTTACATAAGGCAGATGAATAATTTTCAGTGACCAATCGTTCATTTGAAAATGAAAATTTGGTCATACAAAACGCATTAAAAAAAAAAGAGCATCAAATTCGTGGGATGTTCAGTTCTGAAGTCTTAGCATTAATATATGTTAACATAGGATGAAAGAAAATTAGGTATGAATGAGGATTTCAGTTCGCCTTACTTGGACGATTGTAAATCTAAACTTTTGAATTCCAATTTTTTTTGGATTATCGTGCACCACTAATAGAGCATATACTCCAGGTAAATTAATTCCTTTATGCGTTCCAGGTTTGTGCGTACACACATGTTTGCATGCAGCAGTTGCCGCTGCAAACTTGAAATGCGTCCACACTAACTTGAAATGCATTTGTGTATATTTTACAGGCAGGTGATGCGAAGAAATCGGTTCTGGAAAGGAAGAAGAAACAGCAAGAAGAGGCGCGAAGGATCCGGGAATTAATGATCGCAAAAACTGAAAATTGAACCGCACTGAATTTCTATCCCGCTAACCTTTGAAAATATAGGAAATGGCTTAAATGTTAAATTCGTGTTACAGGTTAGGAAAAAACGAAACTTGTTTTCATGCCGAAATTACTTCAAAAGTGATGCATGTATGCTTACGCAGATATTCACTCAGAATACACAGAGATGGTGTTCACTTTTGTATAATGTACAAAAAAATTAGGTATATTACCTGACCGTGGTCCTCATCCGGTACACCAACAACGCCAGCATCTGCAACACTGCAGTGAGTTTTCAGCAATTCTTCCTAAAATCTCTTGACATTTTATATGGTTCATACGCTTCACAAAGAACGATTTCAGAAGTTACACGGAGAAGATGAAATTATACATAGAAATACTTTTTAAGTTGATAGCGGTTGACCCTAGAACAGAATCTAAGTACAAGCAAAAAATGACAAACCAGTTCTGTAGGTGACACCTGCATTCCACTTACTTTGATCAAATCCTTCTTCCGATCGACAACGAAATAGAAACCATCGGAGTCAAAATACATTATATCACCTGAGAGAAAGACGACTTGAACTATACATTTAAGGAAGGAACCCTGGACAGGAATTTCTTCAGGATTTGCAAGATTCATACAAGTTTCATTTTTCCCATTGAATGTGAGTTAGTGTTTCACGACAGCGCAGACGCTCAGAAAAGAAGAAATGCATCTGGCTAGGATTATCACAGCAAAAACCAGTCTCCAATCTGCCATCATACACCTACGCTAGTGTGGCATCAGAAATTGAAGTTCAGTTCACTATTCTGAGCGCCTTTTATAATCATCCAGCTGAGTTTGATATATTTTTAGATATTTTTTCAAACAAATTTCTCCGACTTTTGCAACCAGTTTGATACTAATAAGTAGCGAAGCTAAGACTAGAGTACCATTCTGTAGTGACAA